AACTTCATGTGACACGAATTTCAAATTTATTTTCACATATAGAAAAGCAGCCTCAGGGAAATGTCACACGACTAATAACAATAAATGACGGATGAACGGATGACGGATATCCACGGATCGCATCTCTATATTTATTATTGTTATTATAATATTTTGCCTTTAATGGTTTGAATAAAACGAATAATTCAAATAGGATGGATGATTCAAATAGGATGAATAATTTGAATAGGACAAAAACTGAATAATTCAAATAGAATGAAAAACGAATAGTTCAAATAGAATGAATAGTTTGAGTAAAAAAAATAACAATAATTCAAATTAAATTAAGAATTGTATTTATTACAAATAGAAAATCTATGATTTTATCCTGCTATGATGGATTGTATTTTGTTTTATGAGCAAGCATATGATTTTTTTGTCATTCTAAGTAATGCAAGATCCATCTCAACTAAATGTATATGCCACTGAATTATGCACTAAAATTTCATATGCAAAAATTATTGTTAAGAGAAATTTTTTTTTAGTGTAAGCCATCTAAGTTGCATAAGCTGATAAATTTCTTAGCTGGCTTAGGGGTTGGCACCATTAACTGCAATTAAATGATTAACCAGTTAACCATCATTTAATATTAATTTTTTTATTATTACAGTCAAGCCTTGTCACAGCTATACATGCAGCCCAAAGTATTTTGACACTGTCATAAAGTGGTCACACATGTCATAAAGGGATGTTACACTTATTTTTTAATGGTACAGTGAACCTTCCATAAGTGCACCCCCTTGGGAATGGACGAGAGCGTGCATTTATGGAGGGATGCATTTATAGAGGAGAAGAATTTTATTGGTTGCACGTGATACTAATAAAAATTATTATTAATTACTATTATTATTACATATTAATATTATTGTTGACTAAAAATTGTTCCATTGTGGTTTGCTTCATTGATTTTTTTTTTTTAAATTAATAAATTGCACAAGGGCATTAACTTGTCTTAATTGTTCTTAGAATTTTCTTATTTTATTTTGGTTACTTTTATTAAACATAAATTTTTTAAAAAAATTGTGATCTTTTATCCTTTGTTTAATCCTTAATTTTTAATCTCGCATATATATAATTTCTCCATTTGTGTATTCATCATTATTATTCTAATAACTCTTTGTCAATTAAAAAGAAAGAATTAGCAAACATTCATTTAATCCTTTATAAGCAATAATAGCTTACTTCATCCTTTATTTTCCATTACTAGTATTAAAAAAGAGGTAACAAAAATGATAAATAGATATAAATAACATTTGAATTAATATTGTAACACGAATTTATTTAGCAAATAAATCACATAAAAGTCACGAGCGTGTATTTAGAGAGGGTGGTTTTATATGAACGGGATGGGCGGTGCAGAATATGGAGGGTGTGCATTTATCTCTAATTCCCAAGGTTGGGAATGAGACATAGTGTGCATTTATGGAGGGATGTATTTATAGAGGGTGCACTTATGGAGGGTTCACTGTAAGTGCTGTAATTAATTTCTTCAAAATTGGAATAATTTTGACCATTGAAACCACCAAACCAATTTGGGTTCCATGTATAGTCACAGTGGACCTTGCTACAACAAATTTCTTGTTCCAATGGATTTAAGTATTGGCCCCTTTTTTTATTAATTAAATATTATTGTCATAACAGATTTTATTAATAAATTTGCTCCATAACATTAATGGATCTTTTTATATGACTACTAGTCTCATCACAGCAGACCCACATGAAAAATGCTGTAATTGCCTTTGAGATAGCTTTTAATTGCTAATTCGTGAATGAATCAGAGAAATGATCAAATCTCACTATCCTCATACATTATATGTTGTGCGTGAATTTGGAATCTGCGTCAATTTGAAATTCACGCGCGTGAAATTCAAATTAGCCAATCAGAATTTTGTATTCAAACACACCCCAAAATTTAATTTGTAAATTTCAAATTGACACGAATTTGATTTTCACTTTCAAGATCGTTGAATACTATTTTAAAATTCTTTGCAGTTATTTTATTGACTTATAACAACATGTGGTTCATTTGGTAAATAAAAGTTTTTTTGTTTTTTTTGTTGATAAACCGATAAAAAAAATGTATAGCTCTGGTCAGAATACTTGATAGTGTTGGCTGAAAATTAAATTTTTATATGTTATGAACTTCTTGAAATCTCAGCTTCCTACATATAAACGTTTGCAAAAAACATTCCAAGCCCTTTAATATTTTGATACAATAATCTATGCGACTTAATTTATACATAAATAAAAAGAATAAAGTTTGTGATATCAAAACATCATGCCTTATTATTTTTTAAACATTGTCAACTGACGATTTTTTACCATTGTTGCACCGCCGAATCCTCTGCTTCATTCGCGGATCGTCAATTAAAGCATTTAAAATATGAAAAAAATAAATTGTCAACAAATGAAATATGTGCAGCATAAAAATAGTGGATTATTCATATTATTGGGTAGAAAACATATAAAAATGCAATTAAAATTTCTCTTTTTTAAAAAATATGATCTTCGTTATAATAATATTGCTGGTAAATTACTTGTATAACTTTCTAGTAATAGTAATTGAATCTCTTAGAAATGGCCCGGGAACTGGCGCTGATAACTGAGACAATATCTGGCATTTCATAGGTGGATTAAAAGAAAAAAATAAAGGGAAACAAAGGAGGTTTGTGAAATAATGTTACATTGATAAAATAAAAAGAAACAATTATAATGTACATAATAATAAAGGATTAATTGATAGATTAGATATTTAGATAAACAAATAAGCAGATATTTATGCAGAATACGTAATAATGACTTATTATTTGATATATAGAGACGGTACCTGCCTGTTTGTATGCGTGTGTATGTGTCTTAAAACCTGTAGTAAATTAAAAATGATCGAAAAAAAATATTTTGTTGAAAATTTAGAATTTGAAAGTCAATCGATTATTGGTATTTTGTCATTTTGCATATTTGTTTGTTGATTTGTTTTTTATTTAAAAACTCGCGTGTATTTTGGTTTATATAATAATTTAGAGAATTAAATTTCAAAATTATTTTCCTAAAAATTGTAAATTCTTCTCTTATGCAGGAAGAAAATGAAACATGTAAAATAGAATTTTTTTATGTTCATTCATTATTATTGCCTACAATGTGGCCACAATTATGTAATATTGAGCTTTAATTGGTGACAAAACTAGTTTAACTACGTTTTCGGAAATTTGTTCTTTTTTATTATATTTTAATTCAAAAAATAAAATAAAATATAAAATATACATTATTGGTCACGAGAATAAATTTTAATCTTATATACATTTTTTATGTTAGACAAAAGAATATTATTTATTGTATATCAATATAATTAAAAAAAAAAAGTGCATCATTGTACCTGCGAGTATTTTTTATCCAAATATATGTACTGGCACAGAAGAACGACTTAATTGGCGGAAGAAAATTTGGAACGGGACCATTTGAACGGGGCTTTGTCTGACCGTCTGTATATGTTAATGCATATAGGGAAAAGATTTTTGTGTAAGCAAAAGCAAAATTAATTCTGTCCGATATGTAACTCCCAATCTTTAATTTCAAAAGCAGGATACCCAACCAAATATGTATCACAATAATTTTATTGTCTATCATCCAACATCAGTCACAATTTCACATGGAACACAATTTCCAAGAAATTTCCGGCAAAAAATTAAAAAAAGATAAAGATGATAACCCTATCATTTCCTTAATAAATTGGGGTTTATCATTGACGTAGATTTATCTAAAATTTTATTTTACATTTTTGAATTTAATTTTCCTAAAAATTAGATAAATGATGTCATTTATATGGAATTTTTTGGTAAACTATGTTTTTTAAATCTTAATTAAATAGTGCACAAAATCACATACACTAATACACAAATACAAAACAAAAAAACAAAAATCATCATTTGTGTAAAAAAAAACAAATAATCTAAGCACAACAATCAGATTAACCATAACAATCAACAAAAAAAATTATTCTAATTAAAAAATATTAATAATTAGTTAATAAATTGGTTAACCAACCATTCCCATTCAAGTAATCATCATCATAATAATATTTTGTTTCATATTCTTACTCTATTGCCGCCCGCTTCGCTCATCCTTTCTTCTTATTCCTAGGTAATCTATTACTAGCCAATCAATTACCCCTAGCTATTATATTTACTTTGCCTATTTAGTAATCATTCTTATCGTCAGCATCATCACCGTTAATCAACCCTCCCATTGAAATTAGCCATAGACTAAAATTGTTATTGTTTGTTTTTTCACTATCCCATTTTTTTGATCTGCAAAATCTTTATCTTGGCGAGGAGGTGTGACAATTTTTTGACAAAAACTGTGTAATATAACATATGAAGAAATTACTTCGTTTTTTAGATTTTTTGTTTCATTTTTTAATATAAATGATGTCACCGGTGTTAGGTTTTTTGTGAAAATTTGGTACACTGGACTGGAATCAATTATGCAAATTTGCAAATGGTTCATAAAAAATAAATTAATTGAAAACCGTGTTGTGTGTCAGTGCAATTAAATTAAAATATTTCAGAGTTGCACGTGGATAATAGTTAATATTGTATTATTATAATTATTATAATATATTTTTGAAGCTTGGTTCAAACATTTTTATAGACATTTTTAATAAAAAGTTTTTTATATTTTAAAGATCTACATTTTACATTGTTGTTGGTGCTACATGGAATAGTTAAAAATTTGAAAAAATTTAAATATATTAACAATTATATGTATATTTACGTATTGTAAAAATACATAAATAACAGAGGAAATATATAAAGGACGATTTATTCGATTTATTTAAAAATACGAATAATCGTTTTTTGAAAAAATCATTTTGCCACGAAAAAATTTATTTTATTTTTCATAAAAAAATCATCTTGATAAATCTACCTTCCTCTTTTCTCTCCTTTCCTCTTTATAAATTAAAAAAAAATAAATTTTATTATTTTTATTATTTTGTGTATATAATATATATATATATATATACATACTTTATTAATAATTGTCAAAGAAATTACTGTCAAAAATAAAAAGGTTAAAGATGACTCGTTTAACTTATTTTTTTGATAATAATATAACAACGGATGTGATGAGTACAGACACAATCACAATGTCTAATAATAATAATAATACTAATGATAATAATAATCAACAACATTCTTTAGATTCCTTAGACGTATGAAAATTTTTATTTCTTTTTTATTGTTAATCAACCATAATGATTGATTTAATTAATGATAATAATTGTTATTATAATAGTGTCAACAACATCTTCATCAAGAAGGATTGATTTTACAAAATGCTTCTGATTTACATTATCGCCAATTTGTAAGCTTCCATTTAATAATATTATGATGATAAATGTAAAAATAACTAATAATAATAATTTATAAATCGTGATTATTATATTTAAATTTCGATGATGATTGAAAATTTCATTAAAAAAATTTTTTTTTTCTACAGAGTCCGTTGTTTCAATGTAATGATATGGTAAGATTACAAAATGCTTGATTTTTTAGTGGTAGTGGTAGTTGGAATTTTTTATTTCATTTCCTACTCATTCATTCATTTACTAATTAATATAATAATCATTCGATTTATTTAGTTATTCCCAGAGAATCCAAATTCTTTTGATGATTATTCCCTTCAAATAAAACTAAATAATTATCCTGCCACACAACCTCTTCATTTTAATATGGTATGCATAATAATAAAAATTTATCAAATAATCTGGTGTTTTATCTTTTTACTTATTCTCGCATATTTTTTTCTCAAATGAAAAAAAAGGATGTTAATCGAAATCAAGATAATATGCAGGTAGAATTTCTATTCCATTTTTTTATACAAATCATATTTAATTACTTCCTCTTCTTTTCCTTTTTTGAATTTTGTGAATGCTTACATAAAATTTATTATTATTTTTTTTTTTTCAGTCACAAATAATCAACAACAACAATAATAATGATGACGATGATGACGACGACGACGAAATTGATGAGGAAGTTGAATCACCAACATCCCCATCATATCTTCAACAACATTTAGCGCTCGCTCAATTATTGGTCACCACCACCGATATTCCCAAAGAAATTTCAATCCCTGTCACACGAAACCAACAAATGAATGGGATTATTGATAAGGTAAATTAAATATTATAATATTATTTCCATGTGATACACAAACAATGACAAATATTAAAATAATAATTGTGTAAATAGCAGCAGCAACAACAACAACAACAGCAACAACAACAGCAACAACAACAACAACAACAACATGCTTATTCGTCCATAACGACAACAAATTTGCCTAGTTTGCTAAATCAGAAGCCACCAGTTTATACTAAATGGACTGACAAGGAGGATGAACTGCTCAAGGAAGCTGTTCAAATTTATGGACCTCACAAATGGTCACTTATTGCAACACATGTACCTAACAGAACACCTATGCAATGTTCAGCTAGATGGGTTGGTGCGTTGAATCCGTCGATTTTGAAGGGTCGTTGGACGACTCAAGAAGATAATGCATTGCGAGATGCTGTGAATCAATATATGATGAATTCTATTGATTCACAAGGTAATCCACAACCAATCCCATGGAACAAAGTTTCTAAATGTATTCCTGCAAGAACTGGTGCTCAATGTCAAGCTCGGTGGACTGAGGCATTAGATCCTCGAATTAAGAAGGGCAAATGGTCACCTGAAGAAGATGAAATACTTAAAGAAGGCGTTAGATTATATGGTCGTTGCTGGATTCGTATTGCTGAAATGATAACTGGAAGAACTCAAGTATGTACGGCATTTAAATTTGGGGGTTTTTTTTTGCGAGAAAATTTTGCTTTGAAGTATATAAATAATAAATAATTCGGTCAAAAAAAAAAAAAACCAAAAATTTTTTTTTAATAGAGACAATGTCGTACGCGCTGGCTTCAAGTTAAAAACAAACAGTTCAAAAAAAAAAATAACGACAGCAATAACAATAAAAACAATAGTGGCTCCAACGGAATAGTCAAAACTAGTAATAATAATAAGCCAGATAATAATAATAAAAACAACGATAATAACAATCAAAAAGTGATGTTAACACCACCAAGTACTACACCTTCCACGCCTGCACAATCTATTAAAAATGTTGTGACGTCATTACCTTCAAAACCATCGTCTACCTCATCATCTTTATCATCGTCTCCAGTCTTTTCTTCACCATCATCATCCTTACCCTCGCCCACATCAAACATTCAAGGAGTCATTATGCGATCTTCACCTACTACAAATAATGGTGGTAATATTTCAGGTCATCAACAATTAATGATGATCAACGCAGCCTCATCTCCTGAGGAACGATTCTATAATAATAATTTATTTTACCATCAACTCTATCAATATAATAACAATCAAATTTCTTTTTGTTAACATTGACTTATTTAAAAAAAAACTTTTTTTTTTCGTTTATCATTTCATTTATTTTTTTTAATCTTTTTTTTTTATTTTCTATATTATAAATATATGATTAAGTAGGAACTATGGTAAATTGAGAAAAAAATTTTTATACAAAAAAAACAAATTAAAAAATTTAAGAAGACATTTTAAGATTATTTAAGAAAAAACCTTAAGATTATTAAATTATATAAATATATAAATATATAAATATACATACAAAATATTTCCCCATTATTTATTATTCTTTATTCTTTGTATTTATTCTTTATTATTAACCTCCTTTTATAATTTTTATTTTCAAACGTGTATAAATCTTGGCAGTAGTGCGAAACTTAAGATTATTTAATGACGACTAGAATGAATGAATGAATAAATATTTTTTTAGGAAATTTTGATTGGATTGATTCCATCAGAAAATTTAACATATTCAAAAAAGGCAATGATATCTTTATTATAAGTAATAATACATTCGTTAAAAGTTTTGTTGTAGTATGTGTAAGACCCGTTATACAGTAGTGCAGTGCAGGTTATCTATAACCAATTAATTGCTTATATATTAAGTAACAAACAAATAGCTCATCTTCAAAATATTAAAACAAAAAATCACCAACAAGTTTTATTTGTTCATGACTCAAGCTTCTTATCGACTAATTTTTTCTTAAACTGAACAATGGCGTTTTTGGAAATTTCAAATTTCAAAAACCTGGGACCAAATAAAATAATGTGTAACAAGCAAAATTTTTTTCGTGGAATATATATATATATTTTTTTTTTGCATGAATTGACAGCTGAATTGAATGAATGATAGTTTATTTTTAAAATCCAACATATGGAGTCACATAATATTTTAACCGATCGTGATGATATTAAAGTATTGTATTGAAATCGGCCAATCAAACATGGACGTGTTTGTGCGCGAAATTCCTTTTGATTGGTCGATCGTCACATTTACTGAATGAAAATCCGTCTATGTGAGATTTAGTAGTAGTAGAGTGAGTGAGGAAAGCTCGCTTCATGTCTACTCGTTACGAAAAGTTCACTCGAAAAAAGGCAATGATTTGCATATTTTACTAAATTAGCAACGATTATCGTTCAATGTTGTCGTTAACATATTTCTTTCCTATCGTCAGGTTAGATCGAAAAAAAAAATATAACATATATGTTTAATTTTTAATTTTTGCATTATAAAAGATCGAGATTAAACTTAAAAAGGCAACATCCATCTACGCGTAGTCTTGACATTTTTATCCATGAATGAAATAAAGACATATTTCACATTTCAATTGTCAAATGAATTAAAAATTCATTTTGAACGTGTAATTTAATTAAAAACTATTGGTCGATTATAATTAAAAATCATGCGATTTTTCAGAAAAATATTAATTAACTAATTTTAATGATTAAAAAAGGTTATAAATAAATCAACTTGTTTTTTTTTTTTTTGAACTTATTATCTTTTCGCCTCCCTTTTAAATATCACTCTAACAATCATTTATTATTGTTATTATTTAATTTTTATATTTTTTAAAAAACAAACGATAAACGATTATAAAATGTTAAGTTACGGTTATTCAATAGGCAAGTTATTTTATTTATTTGTTTGTTTGTTGATCCTATATTTCATATCTTTTACCACATGCACACATATTGACACATTGTACCGCTAAATAAATAGGAGATTTATCACCATCGTCATTAGTGATTTCTCATGAATTGAGTAAAATTATTTTATCACCTTTAAAGCCAAGATTCGTAGTAATCGGGACTTTAAGTGAAATAATGGAATGGATGAGATCAAACGGCAATCTTACATGTGAATACGATGACGACAGTGGCGATAAAGATAACAATAAAGATTATTATGATAACATCATTAAAGACAATAATAAAAGTAATGTGACTCATGGTCATAATAAGGACTTGAAGAAAAAAAAATCAGCTACATTCACACATACAAGCACTCCCAGAATAATTTTATTTGAATTATACACTTCCTCACAACAACAACAGCAGCAGCAGCAGCAGGAAGAACGTCATCAACATCACACATCATTTAAAAGTTTATTTTCATTAAATAAAGTCGATAAATCTTCAAATTCTTCTTCTCCTCCTACATCTACAACAACAATCTTTCATTTGGTGATAAAACCTGAACAGCTCTATCAGCTTCATAATGGAAAATATTACACTGTTAGTAAAGAAAGTGACAAGTATGAAGTTGAAGAAGGCTACACGGTGATTAAACGTAGTAGATGTCAGAATGGTATGACATTAAGCCATGTGTTACGTAAATGGACAACAAATTCAGATAATGACAAAAATCATCATCATTCAAAAAAGTCTGCTAATGTTAAGCTTGGTTCTGATTTCGATTATTAATTCGATTCAGTTAATTGAAAATGATGAAGTAAGGTGGTAAGATTTATAGCTTTACCTTTATAAGTTTAATATATATATATATATATATATATTTATTGTCAATTTATTGTGTCTATTTTTTGTATTTATTATGTGATTTAATTAAGACGTATAAAAAAAACAAATTTAAAGAAATGTTATTTTTAAATAATATAACTGTCAATGTTAATAATAATAAAGTATTTTTTAAATATGAGCTTCTTATTGAATAGATAAATTTATTCCTTGTGATTGAACATCATCATCTTTTTCAACAATAACATCTCCATATCCAACGTCATAATCCGTTGTTTCACCTCCGTAATAATCTCTTAGATATTCATCGGGATATTTTACTATTTGCTGTTGCTCGGTATATTTCGTTATTTCATAACGGTTTTCTGCTTTTGTTTCTTCACAAGGTTGTTGATTATTTTCTTCGCATTGGTGATGATCACCATCCAATTCTTTCTCGTCATCCTCCTCAAGAGATGTGATAGATTCTGGTATTTGGATTTCCGGACTGATGCTGGTTGTGATGTTGGTAATATACCAAATGGCATAATAGGTCTTCTACACCCTGTACACGCTTTACAACAACCATGATCAAAGCCATTATTTATTAGATATGGTAGTATTGGCTCTTGTAAAGTAATGTTTATTAATAAAAATAATAATATTGGTATTGATTTAACCATCATCCTACTACTACTTCTCTTTATTCTTCTGCTACTACCGTGTGTAAGAGTGGGAGTGGAGAAAAAGACGAATACTTATATATATTATTTATAAAATACAAATATAAATATGAAATTTTAATTTAACAATCAATCAATCATGAAATTAGGTTTAATCATTCTATCATTTATTTTTATTAAAAAAATAATTATCGTAAATTATTGACTGATCCGGAAAATTTTTTTAAAATGAATGATTCATTACCATCATTACCACCACCTTAGTGAAACTTTTGACTTTAATCATAATATTAACTAAAAGTAGTTTCTCGTCGGGGGCCATGTTGACGATTGACGAAAGTAAAAATCCCAACAAAAGTAAAAAGGTTAAAAACAAAATATTTGACGTAAGATAAGTCTTGACATTATTAGTAAAAAACAAAATAATTGATTTTTATTTTTATAGTTGTGCATACGCAGCATATTGCACGAAAACAGTGATCATTTTATGCGCAATAGATAGAAATCAGAACAAAAAATTAAATAAACAAATACTAAAAGTTTTATCCATTGATGAAGATCCAAGTTCTAAAAAAATAAAAGATCAGGAAATTAACTTCATCAATTGATTTTTCTGGCAAAGCTTATATTCCAATGCAAGCTCAGCAAATGTAAAATTTTATGATGAATCAACTATAGTTGTTTGTTTTTGGAGAAAAAGTGATTATGGTAATAATACGGATTCTCAATATTCTTTATGTGAATGAACATAAACAACTATATATTAATATGCTATTTAATTTAAAGAGTTCAAATAATTACAGATAATTTTGGCAACTATTAAGGTTAATTATGGCAACTATGAAAAACTAATCATGGCGTTACAGATATATGGCAATTATCATTTATTAAGACAATTGAGCAAGTAAATTAACAATACAAACTCGCTCATTATAATGGGATTTTTTTCAATAATAAATAAAATTTTTTGTTGTAACGAATTTATAATAAGTCTTATAGTATGATGGACATTTTAAAAACTTACTATTACTATAAAAAGTAAGTGCTAGGAAGGGTTCTGGAACGGTTCTTCATTTCACCCTAAGAGGTGACAATTATTAGCTGAAAGCTTCATAAAACATGTGTATTTTTTTTTAATTATTATTAAAAGTAACAATTTACTTACACACAGCTTCTCTTGCAATTCAGCATAGGTAAATTATTTGCAATTATTGACAGCATACAAATACGACCATCTTGTCCCTTTTATTTTCATTTATTGTTTCTCCAAAAAATTCCCAAAAGAATTTTTTATACAGAAACCATTAAGAATACAACTGAGCAAGTGTTTGTTGATCTTGTAATATATTTAGTGAACAACTCCAAAATTGATACTATATTTTTTTTTCAATTTATTAATTTTAAATAAAAAAATTTATCTTCATCAAATTACCTTAGATTCATCATCTTCAAATGGAGTCACATTATGGCAACCAGCTTGCTTTAAGCATTGTTCTTCATGCTCCAAGTTTACATTCTTCGGAAATATATCCTGATGGGTAAAGTTTTTCTAAAGAATTAAATTAAAGAATAAATATATTTTCGGTGACAAATTTTAGACGTGATAAATACTGATCGACAAAAAAAAAGCAAGCAAACTTCACGATTATATGGGGTCTGGACAATAGAAACGGACCATGTTGTGAAAATGATGTTTTGAGAAAATTTAAAAAAAAGATCTGCATTTCAAATAATTTACTATTGTTTTTAAAACTTTAATGGAGTGTATCTCAAAGTTTTATTAAGCAAAGTGGGTATGGTTTCTAATCCAAAAATGTTCTACATGAGGAATTACATATAATAGTGATACTAACTCAAAATTGCTTTTTTCACAACATG